TGTTGAACAAAGCAAGTAACACTTCATATGAAAAACAGTAGAGTAAAGTTTGCCATTTGAATGAGTGTCCCAATCATCAGGCATTGTCCAGAAGCAAAAGCTCTATACATATAGATTGCTACTGTTAAATTGCATGTTAATTTCTTCATCTTGCAAACGTTAACATGATAAAAATGTAAAATGTGGCAAAAATTACGAAATATATATATATATATATATATATATATATATATATATATATATATATATATATATATATATATATATATATATATATATATATATATATTGCTATATGTACATGATTTTTGGCACAAGATTTATTCTTCATAAAAATCAAGGACTACAACCTTTTAAAATTTGGGTTTCTTTTTCTTTTGTTTTTGTTTTATACAGCACTGTTTAGTTTGTCATGTATAATGATAAACTAATCAAAATTGATGATATATCTAAGAATGAAATATTAAAATTGTTTGTCTAATATGATAATGCAATATTTCATTTTGATGGAAAAAGACATGCATATACATGTTGTAAATAATGACAAAATGCCTATTGTTTTGATAATGTACTGTAAAGCATAATCCCAAATTTTTCATGTATACTTAATAGAGTAAATTAATTTATATGAACATGGATAAGTAAATTTACAGATGAAATGAACTGACAGAGCTCTTCACAACTTCTTGGTAAAATTTTAATGTAAGAACTCTGTGTAGTAAATTTAAGGATAAAGCAAAATGATTCTGTGTCCTTAAGAAGTTAATGATAATACATTTAAATATCAGTATCTCGAACATGGGATATCTCGAATACCCCGCTTATGTCGAAGTCGATCGCCGGTCCCGACCGTATTCGCTATATATATGATTTAAAAAACACCTGATATCTCGAACACGGTAATCTCGAATACCTCGCTTATGTCGAAGTATATTCAAAGTCCCAAGCCCTTTTTTACCTGGCTTATCGCGACGTGTGGTTAATTTTTCGGTCTACTGAACACACCTGGCGTAGTGACTTCACACATTCTCGCCAGTGGCAATTAATTAACACCTACAAACCTGGGGAATCTTAATTAGTCCCAAGCTCATGTTGGGTATCTGTGATAGGGTAATTGGTATGACGGCTTGGGTGTTTGGTGTTGTCGACGACCGTTTAAAAAGACAACATCGCAGAAATACGCACACTACTACCAGTGCGATACCGATATTGGATTTAATAATATGCTCTGTAAAATTAAAATCGTAAATTCATAAAAAACTTAACATCAAACAGTTATTAATTAAATTGCATTGCGTAATGCACAGTGGTTGATTACAGGTTTATCTGCGTATTTAAATAGATAACCATGACAGCCATTTGCAGTTTTCATTGTTAGTTTCGTAAACTATATCACCCCTACTAATGTTATTGTGATTTAAATTCAAGACACGTGGTTTAGGTTTACCTATTCAAAGGTTATAGGGTAGATCCGGTTTTATAAATAAAATTGGCAGTAAACAGGAAATTGCTATACTCTGTTTCTTCCGAAAACATGTCCTGTGAAAAATGTGTTTCCACACCTTTCTGAAAGACTTTCATGATTTTCAACAGAAATGGGTGGCTTAAATGGGGGGGGGGGGGGATAAATACCAATTAATACATCTTATAGTTAACTGCAAAAATTACAGCTCACTAGAGACCGATACGCTGGTAAAATAATGTGTAATCATCGTCACTGACAAACCTTTGTTTGCCTTATATGGCTATTACTATTAATGCGCACAGCTTACCACGAGCAACTGACCAATTGTTGATTGAATACGTTTACGCCAAATACATGTTTACATGTTACTTCGAACACGTGGTTCAGGTCAATCTATGATCATGTCAATGGAGTGCAAAATAAAAAAAATGTTCTTATGAACAAGATGCAAACATTTGAAACTAAGAAATATATCACGGGCGTTTTTAATTTGTTGTTAACTAGAGAAAAAAAATATGTTTAATAAAATGTATACGTAGTTAGTGTCAAGTTCAAAACATCAGCACTTCAAGGGTAAGGAAAACGAGCAGCTTCTCGTATGCATTTAAATGGAAACATTTTTGACATAACTGTACTCGTGATCACGTGTTTTCGCCAGGGAATCCACCTGGCAATTGTATTCACCGATAGTACAATAAAGGAATTTATCAAGCGTAAAATTCCTGTAGTATTCTTATAGTAACCCATAATGCAATTCTCATTCATCTGATTTGTCAGTTAAAGTCACATTGGTGCCTCAATTGCTAATCTGACGCCAAAAAGTATAGTCCCGATTCCCATGCAAAATATTTATCCAAAAAGAAATTTTAATTCATGACAGCAGAAAATTGTATCAGAGAATACTTAAAAATAATTTAAACTTGAATGAATTCAAGAAAGGTCAATTGAAGTACATTTCTACAGAATTATATTATAGGGTGGTGAAAACTAAAACGCAACATAACTTTTCTGTTTACCATGTCTCCACGTGCTAGTCACTTCCTAGCCACATTTCCGTGAATAATTTACCCTATCTCGCTGAAGTCTCGCTAACTCTCGCCAGAGCCACTGTCAGAGCTACTCTGAACTCATCGGGTTTTATAATTTGCAGAGAACCGAAAAAGAAAAGGTTCCGAACACATTAGTAGGGGTGTATATGTTCTGTAGTAGTACTTCGTAATGTTATACATGTAAGCTATTAATAATATTCACGTACACAGATTGAATATTTTTTAGCCTGTCTTTTTCTTTTCTTACGGAGAAAGTTCTTCGACTATAATGCTAATGATACTTCCCGTTTAACCACGCAAGCATAGCCTGGATAATGTAAAGTCGCTGTAAATGCATAAAGACTTGTCTATTAAATTGTTTTACAATTAAACACGATGAAGAAAACAACGTTTTTTTCTTACTATTCATTGCTATTATGCTTGAGTCTTTACCATAAAGACTAATGTGATTTGTAATACGGGGTAGTGGTATGCATGAATAGATATATATACCCCCAAAAAACCGGGAAATTATTGATTCGACTTTGTGAGACAACTTTGGATATCTCGAACCCCCGGATACCTCGAAATCATGTACAGGTCCCCTCAACTTCGAGATACTGATATTACACTGTAATATTTACATCAGTTTGTAAGAACTTTTAAAGAACTAAAAATTTGAAATTTTGGTAAGTATTCATATTTGAAATTCAAGCTGCAGTAAACTTTAACAATAAAATAGCGTTATATTGTGTTAGAAAATTAGATACTCAAAAAGAATATCTTTTGCAACCATTACCGTTTTAAACACTTCTTTCCACTACCTTATGCTTAGAAAATAAATCCCACAGATACAATACCCATGCTTTTTTTTTGAAATTTTTCTTCTAATTTTAATTTCTTAGAGAAATATTTTAAGATCCATTCTTATAACAATGGAGGTAGGTCCATGGTATTAATAGATCTTGAATTCTACAAATACAGTATTACATGATTTATCTTCTTGGATGATCCTCAATCAATCAAAATATATATGTTTGGTGGTAAAACATTAATCTCTGTTGAGATTCTGCTAGGCTAGATATTTAGACTGACGCCGTCGCAGAATCTCTGGACAACAATCAAAAATTCATGTCTGGAAATTAGGCCCCAACTTCGGCCGACTATAGCAAGAATTATTCACCTAGACCACACTGCCGTTCGCTTCAATTAAGTCATTTAGTTGTTTATTTGACTCTCTGTCACTATTATTTCTACATAGCTTACCGTTTAGGCATGTAAATCCCAACATAAAAATATTCACTGAAATCTGCGTTTAAAATATGGCTCCCCTGGCGAAATTGTTTACCTCCTCGAATAAAAGAGTTCCTATAGTCTGTTTTTTTACCCTATGTGATCTCAATAGCCTCAGTAGACTTGGTTCAGAATCACATAGGGTAAAAAACAGACTATAGGAACTCTTTAGTAAAACATCGGTAGCTTAACTTAAGTACATTCATATATAAACTTAGCAACATGTAAAGAAGTATAAATCTACTTTAAAAAATTTCTAAAGAAATACTTTTTAATGTAGGTCAATCTCAAAGGTCAAAGGGTTAAAGTTCTTGGTATCCAGTGAAGGGTCTTCTCACAAGGATTACATATTTGAAGTATGAAAGCCCTATCCCTTACCGTTCAAAAGTTATGGCCAAGGTTAAAGTTTTTTCACAAGTACGGAAATCTACAAGGTCAAGGTCAAGGCTGTTGGTATCCAATGAAAGGTCTTTCAACAAGCATTACATATGTCAAGTATAAATGTCCTAGTATCTACTGTTCAAAAGATATGGCCATAGTAAAAAATTAAAATTTTCATGTAAAAGTGGGTCAAACTCCAAGGTCAAAAGGTCACATTTGGTGGCACCCACAGAAAGGTCTTGTCACAAGGAATACACATATGAAATATGAAAGTCATAGCTCCACTAAATCAAAAGTTATGGGCAAGGTTAAAGTTTTTGCGGACAAACAGACAGACGGACACGACAAAAACTATATACCCCCCGAAACTTCGTTTACGTGGGCATAATAAGCTCATACAAACGACACCAAAGTCATTGACCTTGTGATCTTGACTGGGACCTTAATGCTAAAAATAGCTATTTTCGAATTTTTGCCATAAATTTTTAACCATAGGAGATATAGACTTCATATTTGATATGCATACTCCACCTCTAAAGTTCTTTCAAATAACATTAATATCAATGTGTTGTAATGCACTGTGTATTCACAACACCATTGTGGGTTAAGAACTAAATTATTACCTTCTTTTCCAGGAGAGCTTATTAGATAAGAACAGTAACTCTTGATAAAATTAGAACATAATTACATCCTTCCCCTTACAAAATTTGAGACTTCCCATGTACACTGTACATTAGATTTAAGATAATTAAAGTACATTATTAACTGTAACACAAAATAAATTTGATGAAATATTAATTAGTTCAGTTTTCAATTAAGATTAACAGTAAAGTTCATTCTCGGTATCGCGCAGGGAGTTTAACACAGCGGCCACTACGGGTAATATGCGCAGGGTTTTCTGCTGGTGGTTCGACGTTAGATCTAGCTGTCTCGGTGACTGTATTTGGTTGCACGTCTGAAGCTGCTGATATATCATTGGTGCTCTGATCAGTCTTGGAACACAATGTCGCATCGGTATACGCAGGGGCATCACTTCTGGAGACTGAGTTACCTCGGACACGAGTAGGTCTCAGGAATTTGCGGTTACGTCTGTAGCATCTGCCTTTGCTCTCGATGACATACGAACGTTTTGTCGGGTGTAAGTCTTTAAAGAATCCGCTTGTCCATTGTCCTGATTGGCTCTGCATCATTACAGAGTCTCCTGCCTTGAAAGGTTTAAGTGGTTCCTTCCTAGCATGTCTGTTAAAGTTCTCTTCCTGTTTTTCCTGTCGACATTTCATCTTGACCAATGTGTTGTCATCTACATGTGATTTCAATAGAGGGACAGCTGTAGGTAAGATAGACTTCAGTTTGCGTCCTAGAAATAGCTGAGCTGGTGACATATCAATACCATCAATCTTGGTGTTCCGATACTCCAAATGAGCTAAGTATGGATCTTGAGATTTGATGATAAGATGTTTCATGGTCTGAACCATTCGCCCTCTCTGTCCATTACTCTGAGCATGGTACGGACTGGTTGTGGTATGTGTGATGTAATACGATTTCACAAACTCCTTAAACTCATACTCAGTAACTACTGAATTGTGGTCCATTATCACTAATTATGATATCTGGAATTCCATATTTAGGAATCATGCTTTTCAAATGATTGATCACGCACTTAGAGGTAAGCGACTCCAGTTTGGCAAGTTCTGGCCACTTAGATAGATAATCAACTACCAGTAAGTAATGGTTTCCACTCAGTTCAAACAAATCCATTCCAATCTTAGACCACGGTCTTGATGGAAGTTCGCTTGGGATCATTGGTTCCTTGGGGTTAGCAGCCTGAAATTTGGCACAAGTTGCACATGCGCTCACGAGGTTCTCTATGTCTCTTCCCATGCCGTTCCAAAAGAGAATGTCTCACGCTCGATTTTTGGTCTTCACAATTCCTTGGTGTCCGATATGTAGCTTCTCCAGCATTTCATTCTGCATCGACTTTGGGACAATCAGTTTGTGCGACTTGTAGAGAATACCATCAATGCATGAAAGTTCATCACGGAAATTCCAGTAGGCTCTAATTTCCGGTGCTAGGTCTGCTTTGTTGTTTGGCCAACCATCCAAGATGTGTCCAACAGTTGCTGTAACTCGTCATCTTGACCTGTTTCCTTCCGGATCCTGTTCTGTACTTCTTGTGACACAGGTAAGTATGAAGTAAGATGTATCTCATTCACCTGTAGATCGGGTATGAGGGCTTCCTTAGTCTCTTTCAGATAGGAACGACTCAAATGATCTGCCAAGAACATTTTCTTTCCAGGTTTGTAAACTACTTGAATGTCATACTTTTCAAGTGCTAACACGAATCTTTGTAGTCTTGGAGGTGAAGATAGAACAGGTTTCTTGAAGATACTTTCCAAAGGCTTATGGTCCGATTCAACCAGTACACTGTGACCATATACATAATCATGGAATTTTTTACATCCATAGAGAATAGCTAGAGTTTTTTTTCTCAATCTGTGAATATCGTTGTTGTGTTTCTGTCAGTGCTCGTGATCCGTACGCAACTGGCTTATCTTGCTGAATCAACACTGCACCAAGTCCTTTAGAACTGGCATCTATGGACAACATCACTGGCTTGTTTGGATCAAAAGTACTGAAGGATCGGTGCACTAGTAGTCATGCGTTTCAATTTCTCGAAGCTTTCTTCCTGTTCACTTTCCCATTTCCATAGAGTGTTTTTCTCCAGTAGCTGTCATAATGGACTGCCAACTTCTGATAGATCGGGCATAAACTTCCCTAAGTATTGAATAAAGCCCATAAATGTAAGTCTTTCACATGATTGGGACGGTCCATTTCCAGTACAGCACGGACTTTTTCGGGATCGGGTTTCAGACCCGAGTCAGTAAATCTGTGTCCCACGTACGTCAGCCCTGAGCGTCTGATCTCGAACTTGTCCATGCTGAGCTTCAAGTTATGTTGTCTTGCTCGACCCAGTAAGGCTTTCAAACGTCTGACACGTTCAGCTTCTGTGGTTACCCATACAATGATATCATCAATAATCGCCTCTGTTCCATCGAGATCCTGAATCATTTCGGATATGGCACCTTGAAACACTTCAGGTGCGGACTTGATTCCGAAGGGCATTCGAGTGAATCGATAAGGTCCAAACATAGAATTAAATGTGCAGAGTTTAGAACTCTCGTCATCTAGTTTGGTCTGCCAAAATCCAGAGGTAGCATCTAATTTGCTGAAAATCTTGGCTCTAGGCATCCTAGCTGCAACTTCTTCAACAGATTTTAAGGGAAAATGTTCCCGAAGTATGGCACGGTTTAGGTCAGGAGGATCAATGCAAATCCTGATCTTTCCATTCGGCTTTGTAACGGTTACCATGGAGTTGACCCATTTCGTCGGCTCGCGTTGCTTCACAATCACTCCTTCACGCTCCATTCTGTCGAGCTCTTCCTTGACCTTGTCCTTCAAGGCTATGGGAATCTTGCATGGAGGATGTATCACTGGCTGAATGTTTTCATCCACCTTAATTGAGTAAGTGCCTGGTAAGCATCCAAGTCCACTGAATAAGTCCTGATAATCCTGGGGAATGCCATGTGGTACAGTACGGTTTTTCCTCTCACTGCTGTGTATTCGCTGAACGAGTCCAAGCTTAGAACATGTGTCAGCTCCCAGAACAGGGTTCACCGTTTGGTCGATAATGTAGAATTTCACATATGGCAGCATTGCATCCTTCCATACACAGGGTAGTATAACAGTACCAGCACAACGAATGTAGTGTCCAGAGAACGACTTCAGTGGTGAAAAGGTTGGTGTAACTTTCAAGTTTTTGTCTATTTTCTTGAGATCAGCTGATGACAAAACGTTACACTTTGCTCCGGTGTCAAGTTGGAAGTGAATATTAGTGTCCTTCACCTTCACTGTTTCATACCATTCTACATCATGATTTTCACCATTGACATTCACTGAACCAATAAAGAATTCCTCATCTGATGTGTCTACTGCATGCATTGTCTTTGATCTATTGGTTTTCTTTGAACTAGTGACAGCACGCTTTTTTCCTGAGTGACACTTAACTGCAAAGTGGTTTGGATTTTCACACTTTCTACACGTTTCACCATATGCGGGGCATCGTTTAAACTCGTGAGTTTGGCCACAATATTTACAGTCTTTCACTATCGGTTTCTTACTTTCACTTTCGCTTTTAGTCGGTGCTGAGTTCCGGTTTGGGGGAGTCCTACCTTTCGATAATCCATGTACCGATTTGTCTTCCATAAACTGTATTTGCTGCTTAGAAATTTCACATGTACGCGCTAAGTTCATAGCTTTCTCCAGGGTCAAGTCTGAACCCTCACCAATGCATTTTTCACGTACCTTGTGATCCCGAGTACCGAACACGATAGCGTCTCTAATCATATCATCCTGATCCTTATATCCGCATTCTTTCACTAAAAGTCTGAGATCTGTCGGAATTTTTTTCAAATGTTTCTCCCTCCTTCTGTGTCCTACTGAGGAACTTGTATCTCGAATAAACACGATTTGACTTCGGTTTCACGTGGTTTTCAAATTTCTCCTTTATCACTGAGAATTTCTTACTATCTTCCTCTGATAGGTTCCACGTTGAATAGATATCTCTTCCCTTGTCGCCAATCCATATCATCGGGTAATTACAATGTCTCTCTTCCTTATTTTTGCTCAATGGGCCCTTTCTCCAGAATTCCAAGTGTTGTATAAACGTGCGCCATTTCTCAACGAGATCCTGGGCCTCCCAGTTAAATTTCGGCGTGACAGCTGGATTCATCGTATTCATCATAATCCTTGAATCCTCTTCTGTACAACTGCAGCGCTTATTTCTGCAGATAGCGATGGAAAAGGGAGATATCAAACCGCTTCTGACACCATGTAATGTACTGTGTATTCACGACACCATTGTGGGTTAAGAACTAATTTATTACCTTCTTTTCCAAGAGAGCTTATAAGATAAGAACAGTAACTCTTGATAAAATTAGAACATACATTACACGTGTGACCTTGACTGTGACCTATATGATAAAAATAGTTTTTTGTTACTTTGTTGCCGCCGGGTGCATAGTGTTTCACAAACACATCTTGTTTTAAGCATGTAATAAAAGAAAGTTATAAACAAACTGTAACATTTACTACATCCCGCACAGCTTCGTCACCAAAATCCCAAATGACAATTTTTTTTAAATCTACGAACGTAAATGAATATTTATAATTAGTATATTACCAAAGATGAAAGTTGACAGGGAGTGCCAGTATACCCAGTAAATACAAAAAGTAATTAGAACAAGAAAATATCAAACTGACTTTGCTTTTTACTTGGCTGAATAGGCCATGGCCGCTTTAATGAGGATACCGATGCATCAATATTAAGCCTTATATATGGCATCCCTTAGAATGCAAATTGTGAACCCCATGAACAGATGTTCACAGCATAATAATTGAGTTTCAGACAAATAATCACATATACATGTATATCAAGCAAGTCCATTGAGCCTACTGGTAAGCCTGGTTATGTTTCAAGATATGCGGTTGTATAGTCTGTGCCATCAGTAGCTACAATAGAAAACCCCTTTACCCAAACATTTCCAATTAACAGCAGGTAGTAACAAAAGAAATTGTGGTTTGCCAAGACAAATATATTTTAGCGAAAGCGTCGCCTGCATGCAAATCTCAACAAACCTTTAAAGGGAAATGCAAATGCGTTACTGTAGCAATCGTAAATTCAATGTAGCCACCAATTTGTGGCAAACTATGACCCACAAACTAGTCATAGCGCATCCAAGGCCTAAACTCCCCTAGTTCTAGTGACACTTTCTCAGAAAGATTTGTTAAAAATGTGTGCAAGCCTTGATGATTGTGGTACAAAAATATACTTATTATGTCCTTATTAATGTCTAGCAATGAAACTATTCAGGCGTTTCTAACCTTGTCCAAGGCTTTTTGGTTACCTAATACCATCGCGCCAATGTTGGCGGAGGAGGATGCGAGACCACATTAAAACGGTATCTGGCAACAGCTTAGCCAAGCCGGCCTATTCTTTTATTATTCCCCTACCGGTAGAACCAGAGGGGACTTTAGGTTTCTTCTGCGTATGCCCGTCCGTCGGTTTGTCCCCGTCAGTCTGTCCTTCTTAGTTTTCCGCACTTTTTTTCGAAACGCTTGCAGATATCGAGCTGAATTTTGGTATGTGGGTGTATCTTGAGTTACAAATCAAGTTTGAATTTCGTTTCACTTCATTGATTTTTGATTGAATTATGGCATTTTTTATTTTTCATTATCGTTTAAGATCGGTTCAAAGGTCAACATGGTAAATATGAAGCGAGAAAAAGACGAATTTCGTCTTTATGTGGATTATTTTATTAGGTTAAAGACATTCACAACTTCAAAATCAAGCAGTTTTTCGTTTTTCCTTGGACTTGTTGCTGTTGCAATTCAAAGTTTCAAGTCCAGTTGCTACTTTTCCTTTGTTATGAGTACAGTCCAGTAGAGCTACAGTCTCGACAGTCTTCTGGGTTTTTTTTTTATTCATGGTGAGTGTGATAATTTTACGTCATAATGATTGCAAAAAATATTGGATTTCTGTTACACTTTTGAGGGATTGGGTTTTTTAAAATGTAAGATATCGTAAATATTGACCCAAGTTAACGTTTCATGGAAACTTGTTTCAAGATACACTGGTTTCAAAATATTGACCATCCCTCTTACTTTTAAATTTTCATTAGGAGAAGTTCGTTCAAGATTTTCTCCCCCTTTTCATTTCAGTGGACAAAAAAGGGGATTCAAAATAATATGCCTGGTAAATATTATACCCCAATTAGACTTCCATACATGTAGTTACTCATTTCTGTTTAATGTTGCTCTCTCCCTTCTTAAAACACCAAATATTCCAGTTGCTCTATATGGAATGAAGTACTGAATGTCACCATATTTTAATGGTCGGATAAATGATATATGTGGCTCATATATACTGTTCATCTTCCATTTAATTCCAAAAATGCCAAATTCCATTTAATTATAAATTAATTCATAGCATCTTATCTAGATAAGACATATATTAATAGTAAAATAAATACATTGCTAACAGAAACACTTCCAAACATTAAAAAATAAACTTTTTTCTAAAGTCATTCTGTTCAAGCACAAGAGTGTTCTATGCACAATGAAGTTACGTCTCCACAAAGTCTTTCTTACTTTCTCCTAGATGCCAAGGCATGGTGGCACCACCTTAAACAGAAGTTGCACTGAATCTGCTTCTTGTAGCTTGCTGTACAGAAGGGAAGGTCGCATGCGACGTTCCTCTTGTCTAATTAAGCTCTCCATGCAGATAAGCTCTACAGGCCCTGACTTGACATAGCCGCATGGTTTTGGGGGAGATGACCGACAAAATGGCTGTTGAATTCTACAAATTCTGAAAATAAATGTATACGATACCCTGTTGATTAATGTGGGTCTCCAAATGCTATTTGCATAATTAACTAATTTAAACAAAAAACAATTGCTTTTTACTTTTTTAGGTCACCTGAGTAAACTCAGGTGACCTATTGCTATCCGTTTTCGTCCGTCGTCGTCCGTCGTGTGTCGTGTGTTAACATTTGAACATTTTCAGCTTCTTCTCTGCAACCACTGAACCAATTTCAACCAAATTTGGCACAAAGCATCTATGGGTGAAGGGGAACAAAAATTGTGAATTTCATGATCCCTGCCCCCCTGGGGCATGAGGGGTGGGGCCAAAACCACTAAAATTAATGCAATCTTTAAAAATCTTCTTCTTTACTCCTGGACATCAAGCAGTCAAACTATTTGCATGATTGTAATCAGCATTGAGTCCTCTACCAAAATTGTGAAATTCATGGCCCTGGGGTCAGGGATTCTAGTGCTAGGGCGGGGCTAAATAAGTATATAGTGAAAATGCATTATTTCTTTGAAAATCTTCTTCTCTGCTCCTGGGTATTAAATAAACCAACTAAGTACATAGTTATGATGAGCAAGAGTGCCTCTACCAAAATTGTGAATTTTATGGCCCCAGGGTCAGGGGTTCTGGTGTTAGGGTGGGGCTCTATTGATTATATAGTAAAAATACATGATTTATTTGAAAATCTTCTTCTCTGCCCCTGGGTATTAAATAAACCAAGTAAGTAAATAGTTATGATGAGCAAGAGTGCCTCTACCAAAATTGTGAATTTTATGGCCCCAGGGTCAAGGGTTCTGGTGTGGGGGGGGGGGGGCTCTATTGATTATATAGTGAAATTACATGAATTCTTTGAAAATCTTCTTCTCTGCTCCTAGGTATTAAATAAACTAACTAAGTACATAGTTATGATAAGCAAGTGTTCCTCAACCAAGATTGTGAATTTTATGGCCCCAGGGTCAAGGGTTCTGGGGTGTGTGTGTGTGTGGGGGGGGGGGGCTCTATTGATTATATAGTGAAAATATGTGAATTCCTTGAAAATCTTCTTCTCTGCTCCTAGGTATTATATAAACTAACTAAGTGCATAGTTATGATGAGCAAGTGTGCCTCAACCAAAATTGTGAATTTAATGGCCCTATCATCCAAGGTTCTGGTGTTGGGGGTGGGGGGGGGCTCTATTGATCATATGGTGAAATTACATGAATTCTTTGAAAATCTTCTTCTCTGCTCCTAGGTATTAAATAAATTAACTAAGTGCATAATGATGATGAGCAAGAGTTCCTCAACCAAAA